ATCGGATCCAGCTGGGGTTGGGTTTGTTTTTTCCTCTTCCCCCCCCCCCTCTTTTTTTGTAATTCCCGTTGGGACCAGCTGGGCTGAACTCGAAGGGCTGAGGGTTTCAGCCGCTCCCTCCGTTGGCTACACGGAAAAAAAAAAATAAAAAAAAAAAATCATGGTGATGATAGTGGGAGACACTGGGAGGGAACCGGACCAGGAGCCGACGTGGGGTTGTGTGAAAAGAGCCGAGAGTCCCGTCAAGAAGCAGCGGGTGAGCTGTAAACCCGGGTGCTGTCCTCTATGTACAACCCAGAACCTCTGTCCCCGAGCGGAACCGCCACTCCCGACCCTCTGCCAGCCCGCCGCGGGCCTTTAGGATCCCAGATCCACCAGGCTGGACGTGAGGGGTCCCAGCAGCGAGTCCTGGAGCTGGTGGCCTTGGAGGCTGTGAGGGGTCTGGGATGCGGCCAAGCCGCCCAGGGAGTAGCCGGAGCTCCTGGCGTGGCTGAGGTTCCCCTGCAAGAGCAGGACCGAGTTCTGATCCGGGCTTTGGGGAGGAGAAAACTCTTCCTCGGAGCTGGACATGAGGGGTTTGCTCCCATCCAGAGGCGAGAGTTGGTTCGGCTTGTTGGTGGCCGCGTTGTTGTTTTCCGTGTTCTCCCTGCAGAAAGGAAAAAAAAAAAAAAAACCACAAATGGGACGTTATGGCAGGCGAGGGGCGCCGGGTATGGGCTCTGGGCTCATGCCCCCAGAAAATCCTTTGCGTTCTATTTCATCGTGACAGCAGATGCCTCTCTCCGGAAAGAAAACAAAAATGTAAAAGAGCCTAATATAAAGGACCACCTCAATTTCTTTTTACCCTCCTAGAAATAGGTGTGCACCGCACAGCTCGGTAATTTGAGTGAGGAGGAAAAGTTGCCCGGAGGGGGGGGCGGAATTCTTTCTCTTTTTAACTCAAAATGAAAGCGCGGCCCGGGGACGAGCAGGGTGAGGGATTTTTTTCTACGAGGCTCGGCGTGGAGGTTGCTGGAGGAGACAAAAAGCGGGGCGCTGCCCTCCGTGGTTGTCAGCTTCGCCGGGCCGAGCCGCCGCTTCACAAGGAGGCCACCCCGGGCGGCGCCGCCGGGGGTGCCAGGGGTGGTCTCGATACGGAGAGGCGACTCGGGCCGGCCAGTGTGTACCCATCCCGGTCACCCTCCGGTTCCTTTCCTCTCCATCCTGGGACTTCTTTCTCCTCCTCCGGGCTTCGGAGTTACCGTGCCCGATTCCCAGCAATACCCGACCGCTTCCTCGGAGGCTCCGGGACTGCATCATTCCCGGTTTACTCCGGGCGGCAGGCAAGCAAACAAAGACGGCGGAGCGGCCTGGAGAGGCCGGTGAGGGACTTGCTGCTCCGGGCAGGTGGGAAACTCGGTCCGGTGGATCTCGGGTGGAAAATCCACTTGGGTTTCCGCGAAAGGGCAAAACGCAGGGCGCTTGGGGGGGGGCGGGTGTAGAAATGGATTTGGGGGAGTGAATTATTTTCGTTCGGGGGAGCGGGGAGAAAAGGGGGGGAGGAAGGGGATGCGGGGGGTGGGGGTGACACGTACCTTTCCTTTGCCTCCGCCGCTCGGTCCCGCTGCCTCCGGTTCTTGAACCAGTTGCTGACCTGGGTGGTGGTGAGACCGGTGGCTTCTGCCAACTCCCGCTTCTCCCGGGGGGACGGGTAGGGGTTGTGGGCGTACCATTCCCGCAGCACGCCCCGGGATTTCTCCTTGAAGCAGTAGCTGGTTTCCTCGCCGTCCCAGATGGTGCGGGGCAAAGGGAATTTTCGGCGGACGCGGTATTTGCCGACGGCGCCCAAGGGTCTGCCCCGCAATTTCTCGGCTTCCACGTAGTGAGCCTTCAGCCAGAGCTGCTGGAGCTTGGGGTGGTTGTGTGGCGAGAACTGGTGGCTCTCCAGGATCTTGTAGAGCTCGCGGAAGTTGCCGCGGTGAAAGGCCACCACCGCCTTGGCCTTCAGGACGCTCTCGTTCTTGTGCAGGTGGTCGCAGGCCGGCAGCGACCAGAGGAACCGGCCCAGTCTCTCCAGGTTCCCCCCTTGCTGCAGCACCTCGCAGACGCAGGCGACCTGCTCCTGCGTGAAGCCAAAGGACGGCAGCATCGACATGGCCGGTCACGGCGGCGGCAAGAGAAGGAGGAGGTGGCTGCAGGCACCCCGCGGGAGCTCGGCTGCGGAGGGGCGGGGGGAAGCCGCCCGCCGGACCCGGTCCCTGTCCTGGTCGCGGCCCCAGAGCTGGGAGGCAAGGCGACAGCCCGGTCTGGCGGGCGAGCGGGGATGCTCGTCGCGGCGCCGGGGGGACTTTGTCCCGGCTCCGCCGCAGCCGCGCTTAAAGCGCCCGAGCCCCCGCGCCGCGCTGATTGGGCGCCCGCGGCTCGGCCCCCGCCGTGGCGGGCCTGGCCCGACCCGGCCCGGCCCAGCCCAGCCCGGCCCCCCCCCCAAGCCTAGCCCGACCCGGCCCGGCGGGCAGAGCCTCGGCACGGGCGGGCGGGGCCTGGCGACGGGAACCCGGCCCCGGCAGCCGCGGCTGCGCGGGTGCGGCCCCGGCCCCGGCCCTGTAGGCGGAGCGGGGGGAGTCCGGCTGCCCGCGCCCCCGGGCGCACCTCGGGGAAGCCGCTGCCGGCGGATTTTGCGCTTCTTTCCCCAACTTTTCTTTATCCACCCCCCACCCCCCCACCCCCAACTCCTGCTCTCCCCAGCCCGCTCCCGTCCCCTTCCAAGCCGTCCCGTATTTGATTACCCTAATGCTGGGTTGAATAAATGATGCTTTAGTAAGAAGCTGGGTGATGCGCGGGGCCCCTGCGCCCCCTCCGCCGCCCGGGCGGCCCTTCTGGCTCCGCTCGGCCCTGGGGGAACTCGGGGGGGGCCCGCGGAGTCTCCCCTCCCGGAAGCATCCCAGTGCTGCACGGGCCGGCGGCGCTTTAATTAGCCTAATCCTCATTTGCACACCTCGCTCAAAAGCAATTATATAAAAAAAATTAGAAAACAATTAGGCTCCCTAAACAAAGATAATCCATTGTCAGTAGCAGGGATGGGCTGGGAATTGAGGACAATGAGGGTAGATAAGAGCAGGGGAGCGGTGCGAAGGGGGTGTCTTTATGGCTGGATTTATCTTTGATTAGATAAGACGAAACCCGTATTTCAAGCAAGCTCCAGAACGTTTTTGATTCGAGAACGAGTTTGCTGCGGGAGCTCTAATAACCATCTCGGGGCTCTTTAAAACCTGTTTGTCTTCGCTAAAGACATGCGGATTTATTTGACTTTAAATGCTAAATCTTAAGTACAGCCTATCCGTGGCAGAGGCGGAGAAGGGCTCTTGCTGCCCTCTCCCTGCCCGCAGCCTCTGCCAGCGGTACGATACGGGAAAGGCCGGTCGCGATATTTTTCTAAATCCGGATTATTGTGGTTTTTTTTTCGCACGTACTTCGTGGAGCGGGACTGTTTAAAATAAGCCTCTGCCACCCAGTCTGTCCAGTGACTTTACTATGCTCGCTGGAGTCAGGGCGCTTCTATATCCCATATCCGTGTGTCTGGTAATTTTCCCTTACCGTTTTATTTTAGTACTTATGATGTTGCAGATGAAGTCTTAAAGAGCTGCAATGTCCTCCCAGAAGGAATGTCTGCTTGGAACAGATCCTTATTGACAAGGCAGCTGTGTGGGGACCGGAACGGAGCCTTAAACCCGGCTCTAGAATCAACTAATACCCTAAAGTCTGGAGCAAGTGCGCAGAATTATAACGCCTGGGCTCGCAGCCCCCGTCCTGGAGGAGCAGCGCCCTACTCAGTCAGAGAGATGGGCTCCCCAGTCGTCCTTTTTGTTCGCATTAATTTGTAATTTTTATATCATTTATTTCTAATAAGGCGCTCAGCGAAAAGCACGGACCTGAGCGTTTATACTGTCAGGACGATGAGGAGAGAAATACAGATCGGGGCTGTGGAAGCTCCTTGTCATTTACTGAGAGCTGGTTTCTCTTGCTCTCACATTTCCACTCTTTATTTTTTACTTCCCCCCCCTCCCCACCCCCAAAAGGCCGACCAAACCAAACACCGCTCTTGGACTAAGCAAATTATCCCGGTGCGTCCAGCAGTGGAGCGGACAGGAATGGGCGAGGGCTGAGCTTCCCCGCGATTTCTGAGTGAGACTTTATTTTTCCGTATCACCAAAAATTGACACAAGGAGCGGACAGACTCGCCGGGATCTACCTGGGAGTCACACACAGCAGGCGGGACCCGGTCAGCATCAATGTTAATTATTGCGGAGGGGTTGGTTTTCATCAAGAAAAGATAAATTTGAAACCTTTCACTAAAAAGCACGGAAAGAGGTACATGAATTCCCAAAGCACCCATCCCATTTAGCCATTGAAAATCACCCAGAAAGAAAATAGTTTCGAGCCACTCCGAAGACAGAAATAAAAAGAAATAATAAATAAGCGAATGCAAATACAGAAATAACAGCAACACCCCATCGGCGCGGAGCCGCCGCGGCCCCTCGCTCGTTGTTTTCGAGGAAGGGAGGGAATAAGGAGCAGTTTGACGGGATCACCACCGTCCCCCGACACCGGTGTCTTTGCACCGCCGACTCGTTTCCCCCGAAGGAGCTGGGGCCTGGCACCTACGTGTCCGCGGAGAGGAGGCGGCTGGCCACGGGGCCCCCCTCCCGTTGCCTCGCTTTCAGGGGCACCCATCGGCTCGGTTTGTGCGGGAAATTTCATTTATTCGCTTATTTATTCGATGCAGTGTTACAGAGCGCGGAGCGGGGATGAGGACGGGTCCCGTGCAGCGCTCAGCGAGTTTTCCTTGATTTAGCCAGAAATGTAAAACAAAGCAGAAAAAATAACCCGAACACGACTCCCATACCCCCCCCCTCCCCCCCCCCACCACCTCAGGCCTTAGAAATAAAGCTCTTCCCCAACCAAAATTTTTTTTTTTTTTCTCTAAGTGTGAGGGTCTGGAGGAAACAAACAGCGCAACAAAATCAAATCAGAGACATTTTTATTTTCCGGAGCCCCGTCTCACGGGGATGATAACGGGGGCTGGAGCCGGCGGGGCAGTAACACAACGCTGTCGCTTTCCGAACCTTTCGAAGGCGAAATCCAAAACCGGCCCATTAAGTCAATGAGGTTTGTGTTGTAGAGGGCTCCTTTCCCATCCACTTGCTGTTCTGAAAAATAGATCGCATTTCGTTATCTGGAGTGAGGATCTGCAACGTGATACCGGATCCGCGCCGCCTTCCCCACCGAATGCGCGGGGGAGACAGCCAGCGCCCCGGCTTCTCCCGAACAATAAAGGATTTGTGTTTTCTTTCTCTCCTTCTGCTCTCCCCCCCCCCCCCCCCCCCTTTATTATTCTATTTTTTAATGAGGAAGGACAAACCCCTCTCCATATGCACCACTCTTCTCTCACAGGAGCCTTTGGCCCTACGCGCCTGCAAACCGGTGTGCGACCTTTAATGACTCGAGAGTAAATTGCCCTCCAGGCACCTGTAAAAACAAACCCAAGGTGGGGACGGGGACAACGGGACCGTGTCCTTGCCCCGGCCCCCAGTGCCTGCGCCCCGGGTACTCGATTCCTAGGGTCCCACCCCGAGAGGGCCAGACCGGGCCGGGGCTGCAGAAGGAAAGACCGGCCGGGCCGGGCCGAGCCCAGATGGGCCGGAGGACAGTCGGGGAAGTTTAAGGCCTTCCCGGCGTGGTCCCGGGGAGGGCGATCCCCAGGGCACAAAGGGCTCTTTCTTTGCGCACTTACCGGGACATTTTTCAGAGGATTAGAGGTGATTACGCTTTGGTTTGGGGGTTTTGTTTTTATTTTTATTTTCTCTCCGAGATAAGTCTTTCTGTCCCTGTGTCGTCGTCGTCCCCCGTCCCCCCCCTTATTTCCTCCTGCTTATGCCGTGGGACACCCCTCCCCGTCTTCCCCCTTTTCCTGCTCCCCAGTGTACCCTCTGGATGCTGATTCTTTTAAGCTATGAAGAATTTCCTTTTGGGAGGTGAAACCCTCCAGCTCCTCCTGTTCAGAGGAAAGTGCTAGTGATGGTAATACAGGGTGACACTAAATAAACAGTTAGAGCAGAGCTGGAAAGATGGAGTTAATTATCCAGTGAGCTACATTTAAACCGAGACCAGGAGGGGCTGATTTGTTTTGGCGCAGGGAACTGGGAAGGAGACGAGCCACCGAGGTCTCCTTGCTTCTCCTTAGAGGCTCCTTAATTTGTCCTTGCAGTCGCCAGCCCAGGGACCAGCTGCCCATGGCCCGGTGGCAGAGCCCGGCAGTGGGCCGAGGTCCCGACGGCCTCCCGCCCGGTGCCCGCCACCCGGGAGGGGGCCGGTGCGAGCCGTGCATTGGAGCGGGCGAGCTCAAGGGGTCTGGAGGGAGGGGTTTCCCCACGTTTGTTTGCTTTTTCTTCCCCAGAAGTTAGATAAATTACCGTCTCTGCGGCTCTCCAGTGCCTGTGCTCCTCAGGTAAGTCTGCATATGAGCAGCAGCCCCGCGATGTGCTTTTGTGTTTAAATTTTTCCCTCCTTTCTTCCTTTTCTCCTTTTCTTTTCTTTTCTTTTTTTTTTTTTTCCCAAGAAGTCTGATATTAATAATCCCCGTATGCCCCTCTTTCCGGGTCATTACGGTACTGCTGGTCTCTAATCAATCCTAATGCGATGGCAATTGGAGTCTCTGATGAATGCATCTCAGGTTTCTTGTAATGGCTCTACCACATTTTCCTGGACCTCCTTCTTTAACCTGAGATGCCAGGGGGACGTCTCCGTTCTCAGCTGCTGATTACTTCAAGATGTTTGGGCTGGTGTGGGGAGAGAGGGAGCGAGGGAGGCAGTCTGCCCCTGAATAATCTGGAACTGAATTGGATGAGCCGTTTCCTAAATCAAAGGACAACGGCAGGGTTTAACTCCTTTTCTGCACGGAAGCCCTCCGGCTTGCCTTCCAGCCGGCACCGACTACACTGCATCTCCCCCGTGGGTTCCTGTCCGTGTCCGTGACACTACCCGCGGGTACCCACACATCTCCGGGGTGCGCAGCTCCCTCCGTCAGCTGCGGACCCCCCATACAAAGGGGGACCCCCCATCTCCATCCTCTCACACATCCCAAGAATCCCCGTGCTGCCTGTCGGCTCCGCACCCCGCACACAGGGAGCTTTGCCCCACGCCGTGGGTGGGAGCTCCAAGCCTGAGATGGGGGAGGAAGCCTTCCGCGGGCGCGCAGGGACCGGCGCAGCAACGCGTTATTACCAAAGCTATTCGCATTTTCGCGGCATTGTTTTCCTCCCATTTCTCAGCATAATGGCATTTGCCGTAACCCGAGACAATGATAATTGCAATTTCTGCCCGTTTTTATTTTATTTTCTATTTTTTTTTTAATAAGCTAATGCAGCTCAAGCTGGGCGCTGGCTGCAGCGGCATCGATCGCAGCCTCCCCGGAGCACCGGAGGGAGGTTCCACCGAGGCGCGGCTCCTCCGTGGGGGAAAAACACTCCCCGGGTGCCCCTCTGCGGCGGAATATGCTCCAGTGCAACAGCTTCGGCTGCGCTCCTATAAAACGGGGGTGTGCTGGAAGGGGGGTTAAGTGTTTAAACGAATGATTCAGTTTCTCCGCGCTTGGATGCAATGTAAAAATTAAATCCCAGCAGAAAAGCAGTGAGAGTTGAAAACGGCCCCGTCTGCCGCCGTCTCCGGCCCTGTGTGGGGCGGTAGGAGCGCGGCCGCGGGTGGATGTCCGTGCAGCGCGGGTGGGTTCTCGCTGTTCCAACCCAGCGGCGCCGCACGGCCACGGGTGAGCCACTCGCTAAAGCGAAACAAACTGCGGACGTTGCCTGCCCTCCGCGCCCGCGGCGGCACCGCGCACCCACGCGTGGACAAACTCGTGGAAGCCTGCGCGGTGATTTTAGGGGCAGAAGGGGGGAGCCGGGGGCACGGCAGCCCCCTCTGCACCCACGGGGTGCGCGCACGGCGACACCCGCCCGTCCCACCCGCGGCAGGGACACCCCCTGTCCTCACACGGGCTTTCCCCGCGTGGCCGGGGCTGGAAGCCGGGTGCACAGGAGCGGCGTTTTCCTTAGGTGATGCTGGGGCAGGAGGGCTCAGACACTGGGAAAACCGGGAAAACAAACCCCAAAAAACCCAAACCCAACCAAACCAAACCCCCCCCCCCCAAACCCCACAAAAAAAACCCAACACCAAAAACAGAACAAAACAAAAAAAAAAGGAAAAAAAAAGGGGGAGGGGGGAAGAGAGAAAAAGGGTGCGCACAAGGTGTTGCAGTGATTTTCTTGCTAAAAGCTGGAAAAAAAGTTAAATTGAGGAGGGGGTTGCGAAAGCTTTTTTTGGAAGGGGGTTGCCAGGCTTCCCCCTCAGCTCCTGGCACTGTCCAGGCCAGGAAGGGCCCCCCACAGTCGAAGGGGGTAGTCTGGGGCAGCCTCCAGGGGGACAGAGGGAACCCCATCACACACACACACACCCCCCCAAACCTAGGCCTCACCACCTTGTCCCTGCAGCTGCAGTGTGATTCAGGGTGCAAAGCCGCCCCTTTTGGGTACAGCTCTGTGCCATCTTCCAGACCAAATCCATGTCCCATACCCAGGTGATGAACAAGGCACTGCCTGGTGGGGTGGCAGCGGGGCGCAGGGCAGAATTTACATACAGGGCTCAATTTGCCTCTGTGCTTTGCATTTGGGCACTGAATGAATATTTTCATTGCCGGGAGAGCTGCCGGCTTTGATTGGGCAAAGGGAAGAGGCACTGTCAACCCCTTGCGTGGGAGCAAGTGTGATTTTGGGAGGGCGGCTGGGCCCTGTGGCTGGGCAGCCTCTGGGGATAAGGGGTCAGGGGATGAGGGTTGGGGGCCCATCCTGCACCCGCCGTCTTGGTGGGTTTCTGAGCGAGCTGCGGGAAAGGGACCTTTCACCCCTCATTAGTGATGCCATTAGTGGGTTGGCAGAGCAGAGCTGAGGTCATGTTACATATGGCACACAGTCTGTTCAGCGCCGGCAACGCCAGCTTTGAAATTTTAGAGAGGGGAAAGGTCACCTTGCGTAAGCCGAGGTCTGGGGGTCCTCCGCTCTGTCTGCGCCCTGGGTGGGTCTCCATATGCCTCCGTCGTCGCCAGCCTCGCTCAGTCTGGCCTTGAGAGGTGCTCAGCCTATCTTCTGCCTCCTGAGTTTGCAGGGAATCATCTAAATGAAGGAATACTTCACGCTGCCTTTCCTTTCCCCTTACAGAAAGTCTTCCCCAGCACTGTTGGGTTATTTTTTTTTCCTCTTTTTCCCAGCCTAAACCCCTCTCTAACGACTGATAATTTTTTCAAACAATATATAACACAGCTTTCTAGGAGAAAATGAGTTGTCTCTGTTTATCAGCAGATCTGCCCAGACGGGTAAGTTTACCCTTCTCAGACCTGGATATATGATTTCATAGACCTTCAAAAGCGTAGTGCTTCCATGGTGATTAAAACTTCTCACTCCTGAAAATTGCTGAGCTATTTCAGGTTTCATGCCACTGGATCTTAGAAAAGCACATTTGTACAGTTGTATTTCTTTCTTCTGAACAGTCAAAAAAAAAGAACAAACCCAGTATATTTTGTGTTTGGAAATGCACAACATGTTACGTTAAATTAGTTCCTGGTGCAATTCACTACTCTGAATTTCAGTAGGATCCTGCTGGGGCTTCATCGGGAATGGTTCCAGAGGTGGTGACTGTGGGGAAGAACTCAGCATTTTCCCACTTATGACAGCTGACTGTGTAAGTTGTGCCCCCTCTCAGCCCTGCTGCAGAACCCTATTTTGCAAGCTTTATGTTTTAAATACACAGGGCCTGATACTTAAGCTCTTAAAGCAACTTGGACGGGGGTTTCTGGCATGCAGCTGTTGCAGAAGGATCTTCAAAAGGACATTTGCTTCTACGTAGGTCATAACTAAAAAGGCTCTAAATGAAATAGATGCTTATCTTGAGAATCCGGAGAAGCTGGAGCTGAACCAAAACACGGTGCAGATCCAGGATACACCTTTCCGCCTGCTGCAGTAGGGTATCTGAACAACCACATTAAAGGGAGCTCGTTCTGATTTCCTACTAACAGGGCTCCTTGCATGGATGTTAATTTTTAAATAGGAATAGTCTTTGGCTGCTTGAAAGAGAGGGCTTGGGAGCAGAGGTATGAGACAGCTTATTTTCAGAAATGGAGATGCTGAGATCTGCCTATGGCTTTTGACACAAACAATGTTTTTTTTTCTAGCATGGGGCTAAACTGCAGTCTTAGTTATTGAGTGCAAATCTGTTGATTTAAATGGAGTTCATTGCAAGTGGGAGTGGGATTTAGCCATAATTTTCTGCTGCTGTCTGATCACTGTAGTCTGAAGAAAGCAACATATGTATAATGGTAGCTGAGATGCAGGAGGGGTGGAAGCTTTCTACCAATGAGAACCACATTAAATAATTAATTCCCAATTGCCTTTCTACATTAGTGCTTTCAGCTAAAAAAAGCTGATCGGCTTTGTAAAGCCCCAGGCAATGAAACATTTGGTGCATTGTCAGTCAGAAAGTGGAGGTAATAGATACCCAGGGTGGCTGAAAAGTATTACTCTCCATCCTGTCATTTACATATTCCAGCTGTGAAGCCTCATTCCTCATCCCCTCTTTTGCCTTATTTTAGTTTGACAGGACATCTCTTCTGAGGTGGCTGCTGAGGAAGCCAAAAGTGTATTTATTTTACCAAAATGAGAGGAACTTAATGTTTGAGTCAAAAATGGAGTACATCTCTTTCATCAGCAGACCAAACCTGATGGGTTAATAAGCAAAAGGCTGAATTTCTCCCTCCTTTCCCATTTTCCCCCTTACCCCATCTGCTGGTCCCCCAAGCTCAGCCTGTCATCTCAGGTCAGGTTGGGATCTTCAGGACTCGTATATCATTCACAATAAAGATCTTGCCGTGAGAAATGAGTTAACAAGCCTTTTGATGTGCAAGTCATCAGAGACTGCTCTGCTCACCTTCTGAGATAAATATACGTGTGCATGTGTGTATAAAGCTGAAGAAGAAAAGGAAGCGTTGGAATAAATTGCCTGGGGAGGTAGGAGATTCTCTGTTAAAAACAGGTCTAGACAAACATCTGTCAGAAAATACTGCCATCTATTTGATCTTGTCTTCCAGCTGGGGAAAAGACTGAATGGTCTTTTGGTGGTGCAAAGTCCTTTCCAGCCCTGAGAGACCATAAATATATACATAAATAAACGTGCATGTGTGTAGGTGATTGTCTATCTGTGTATGTGTATATATATGAATATTCGCACATTTTTGGTGACAAGCTCTTGGCCTCCATTATAATTTGTGGCAGTGAATCTTGTAGGCTAATTGCGCATAGGTTTGCTGTCTCTCGGTTTCATTAAATTTGAGTTTCAGAGTTCCATTTAATGTCCTTTGTGCCTCAAATGTATCAGATCACAATGTCTCATCTACCAGCTGTATTTTTCTCCCCTCCCCTTTCCTTCAGCTCTTTTAATTCCAAGTGAAGTTCCTTCAGTTTTATGAGCTTTTTCATGATTCCATTTACCCCCACAGCACATCTGTGAACCCACTTGGGGATACACTTCTTGAGGTAAGGTTGTGAGAGTAGAAGCTTATCTTTATTATTAGACAAAATAGATGGGTGCCTGGAGAAGCTGTTTGGATGACCAATAAGACAGCATGAAAGATTTGTTTAGGGTTTTTTTAATCACTATTTTTGCATATGATCACTTCCCTAAGCACCCCTGTGCTTTAAAGACAACATGGTCACATTTGATGGTGGCACCTCTATAACTTCGCTCCAAGCATGCAAACCTCAGCAGGACCCCTGGTTCTGCAGCCTGCATTTGAGGAGTGTGCTGGCAGCTTGCTTATGTTTATGCACGGAGGACAGGCAGTTACCAAGGGACTTGTGGTCCTTTACACAGGAGCCAATATCAAATATTTCTATTAAAGTTCATTTGAAAGCAAGTTTTATCCCTGTGACACATAGGGGCTACCCTAAAGACAGGGTCCTGGGTGACTCAGCATTGGAGATCATAGAACCATAGAATCATAGAATAGTTAGGGTTGGAATGGACCTTAAGATCATCTAGTTCCAACCCTCCTGCCATGGGCAGGGACACCTCACACTAAACCATGACACCTAAGGCTTCGTCCAACCTGGATAGAGGAGAAGCTGTTCCATGTTAGAAAGCTTATATGCCAGGTAAGGGAGAAAGGGTTTTGCAGGGCTGGTAAAGAGGAAACTGTGTAGTAATTCCTCTGTTGTTAGCCCCAGAGCACACTTGTGCCATGCAACGCTGTGATTCCCTGTGACACTGACACCTCCCAGAAGCTGCATCCCTGAACCATGTAGAGTGGAAGCACAAGGTGCAGCAATGAGTTGCAGGGATCAACATCAAACTTCGTAGCACAAAATGAACCCTGAATTTCTGAAGCCAAATGCTGGGATGAGCCAGACTGCAAGCTCTCTGTGGTCTATGCTTTTAGTCCTCCTTACCAGTAGGTGACTTCTCTTGCCAGTCCATCTTGTCCTTCCAAAAGAACTCTGTCCCCCATAGAAAAAGCATGAGTACAAAGTATAGCAACTGCATGCACTAGCAGAAATCACCAGCTACTGCAGCATATATCAGTACAGAAGACTGTACTCTGTGATGACCATGGAGGGGACACCCCACTACTTCTGCCAAGACCAAAACAAGGCAGCAGCTTCCAGGCTGGGGGCAGACAGGGGCAGTAATCCCTGACACTGCATGAGCACAAGCCGACAGAGCTCATGAGTTTGTCCTTGGGCAAGGTTTGAAGAGCAGCTGTGAGTTAAGCTCACCTTTTGGATGTACCCTCCTGGCAGATGTTGAGTTGTGCTCTTCTGCATGTTCATTCAAAGAATGCAAGCAGCAGGGAGAAGAAGATGACTTATGAGCTCCTTGGGCAGCATGGTGTACAAAACCAGCGGGGCTATTCCACATTGTACTACATCTCAGCTCATAGTGGGATGCAAAACAGGTTTTAACATCGGGAAAAGCAACTCTTTTCAGCCCAGCCTCT